TCTCTCGAGTTTTATAAAACGATCTTCGAGTTTTTATAAAACGATCTCTTGAGTTTTATAAAATGATCTCTCGAGTTTTATAAAACGATCTCTCGAGTTTTATAAAACGATCTTCGAGTTTTTATAAAACGATCTTCGAGTTTTATAAAACGATCTTCGAGTTTTTATAAAACGATCTCCGAGTTTTATAAAATGATCTTTCGAGTTTTATAAAACGATCTTCGAGTTTTATAAAACGATCTTCGAGTTTTTATAAAACGATCTTCGAGTTTTATAAAACGGTATTAATCATTTTATAAAATGATTTTGCGGAAAGTAATGGTTCCATCTTTTACAGAAGCTATCGCAGACGTTGATTTCGAGATTACGGTTTTCGACACCAACAATTACAATTTCTGGTTTAATAATTTAAATGAAGCATACGTTTTATAAATAACACTTAATATATGTTATTATGTCAAATATCTGATTCATACAAATAATTCGGTTAACATATATGTATGACCAAAACCTAAAATGTAAGTACAATCTTAAAGAAATTAATACCTAAGTTAATACTAAATTAAACAAAATAGAGAGCGCAGTACAACGGAGTTGTATGCTGCGAAAAAAGAGGCATTTGCTTATTAGAGAAATGTTAGTGTTCATGTTTTAATTAGAAGTGTATCATTAATAATTTGAAATAATAAATTAAATTACTACATTTAAACTATGAAACTGTTGTATCTGAAAATATTATATTAAACTATTAGTAATATGGTAAATATTAAAATTATATACCATTAATCATGTAAATCTAAGAGTAGATATGCAGCGGTTTGAAGAGAAACCTGGAAGCCTTTTGTATTTGATAAGTTATTTGTCTCCGAAGAGATATTCATGTTATGTTTCTGAATTACAGGGAAACGTTGAGTATGTCAAGAATCTCTTATATATTAATAGAGGAACATTGGGGGCAGAGTAAACTTAAAAGTGTAAGTTATTTACAGCTGAACCTGCTGACGTGTCACTCTCTCAGACCTTCTCAGACATCTTTTGAAATTCTCTTTTGTTCACTAGAGTAATTACATCTGCATGCCATTGCGATTTAATGGACATACATATATACATTATTATTCTGCGGAATAAAGTATACTGCCTTCTCTCTCTCTTATATTATAACTAAAGTCCTAAACATTATCTTTTTTTGTCTAGTTCCAAGGCTCTTGCCTTTATTTCTACTTTCTTTTCTATGTAAATACCTTATCTGTTTTGGTCTGAGAATGTGTATATTTCGAATTCAGGTCTTTTTCAGTATTTAGCTGGGCGATTTATTCTGGAACTCTAGATATTGATGTGTAGTCACCATTATTTATATTGATTTTTGTATGACATTCGTGACCCATTATTTCTGGCGAATGTTATAGGATGTCACTGGTTGATCTTAATTAATTCTAAAATTGTTTTATATCATTATATCCGATGAACAGTTCTTTAGTATCACCATTATTTCCGGCGAATGTTCAATGTCTGGCTTCGTTTCATGAGGAGAAGACACATAGCAACACCTGTTCAACATTTTGTAATCCTTATTTGGGCTTATTTGAGCTTTATGTAATTGTGTACTGTATACCTATTTGGGCTTAATGTAATTGCTTATTGTTAAAGGACCGTATATTTTTGTGTGTAATTTGAATATATTTTCTCGACTATATGGTATTATTCTTTGTAAATAAATCAGTTCTTGCCCGAATAAGAGTGCAGTCTGTTTGGTTTGATTTTGTAGCAAATTTCGAAAAATTAATCAATACAGTTTTAAATAATTGATATCATATATAGTGTGAATGCAATATTTTTGGAATGATTGACAAGCAAATTAGGTAAATTAATATCTTCAAAAGTTTTAACTTTAATGCTGATTTCGTCTCCAAACAAAAGTTTCTATATCTAATATACGAAATAACTGAGTATATTGCGAAAATTTTGATTTCGTAATTTTCTTGCATTAATAGCTATAATCAAACCTAAAGGTTTTTGTAGACAATATAAATGTCGCTTTCCATCTTACTTACAACACGCAAAATATCATAGCAAATACCCAAATTCCAAAATCACAATGGCTGATTTTCCCAATTGAAGCCCTACAAGTCTATGTGGAGAATTAAGGTGAAGATTGTTCGTCTGTGGAAACAGTATTCAGCTCAGGGTGGTGAAACGATCAAATTGGTTTTGGTTGATTCCAGTGTGAGTTTGAAACTTAAAAGTTTCCATATATATTGTAGATGTTTACGGAGCACTTGTAGGTGTTGGCGAGATTGAATTTCGTGAATTTCATGGGGGGTGAAGAATGGGCTAGCGATATGGATGAAAGAATCGTCTTTTCTCTAATTAGCCCAGAGTATGTATAGTGTCCTTTTAGAGCATTACTTTAGTATTCCAAATGTAACTAAGTGTTGAAGCTAATGTTTTTTGTTACTAATGACAGCTTCTATCAAATAAGATGTGTTGCTTATGGAAGTAATGCTAGAGAACTGCATGAGTATTGGACAACCACAAATGCTAATGTTTTTTTGTGTGTTTTAACATTCTGGCAAATTAAGTTGGGTGAAGGTAAACTATAAGTATATATTTTTAATAATTCAAATCTATGGATTAATCATATTATATTTGCTTCTGTAGTAAAAGTGGGTACAATACCTTTTGTAGGTGGCTTCAAGTTCGTGTCAAACTTGGAGGGATGTTCAAAGATTTTGTTTAACCCTAAGATTCCAGAAATAAATGCTTTCGGAAACAGTTATATATATCATCTTTCTAACTATTTATAACTTTACACCACTAAAGCTTTGAACATATCTCTTATTACACAATTTTAATATGGTTTACATGATTCCAGCCATCGCATTTTGATGACAAAGATCAAGATTCTGTGTCGAGTTCTGTTTGGAGATTTAATGAATTATGCTGCGTCACTATTCTTTTTATTTTGTTTGGCTTTTTTTGATTAATATACAGCTTTCCTTACTATTTGTTATGTTTGGCTAATAAGAATAATATGCAGCTTTTGAATTTACTATAGTGTGCTATGGATTATTCATAAAATTATTTATCCAAAAAAACATTTCTTGCATAATGATTGGAGATTTGTTTCATAATTTAAATAGAGTATATAAGGATGTAAAGCAGATTATGGTTTATATATACTGTTGTGCATAATGATCTATAATGACCCGATAAACATAAATTCTATCTAAGTTTCAAATTTAAATTTATATAAATATTAGCAAATTAACGACACAAAGACATCTCATCCCGCGCAAGATGCGGATCTCGACCTAGTGTTAATATTTTACCAAAAAAGTAGAATGTTATTAATAGTTTTGTTATAATATTTCTGAAAAGTAATTTTACTTTATCTATACAAAACTAAAGTAAATAGTATATTTTTTTTGAACATAAACTAGAGTAAATAGTATTAGTCGACAGAAAATGATAAGAACAGCAAATTGAGTAATAACAAACCACAGATATACTTAATTATTTATAGACGATAAGGTTTACATTGTGTTTCATTGTTCATCGTAGCTTGTAATACAAGTTTGACAAAATTACACCCAAAAAAAAAGAAACTTAAATGAAGTCGAAAAAATGCAATACACAGTTCACACATAGACACGCCTCCAAGGACGAAGATTATTTTCTCATTTCTCTTAAACCCGTTAAGAAGCCTGACCCGGATCAGAATCCGATTCGGTTCTGTATTGTCCTTCCACACCAGGAACAACCATGCCAGGGTGATGGTGATACATCTGAACCGGACCGGGCGTTTTCATATCATAATAAGCCGTCCGGTTAACTCCATCAACTGCCATCATAACGGGCCTAACAGTTCCACTATATACTTGACCCGGACCAGGAATCTGATGAGTCTGAGGTTGGTGATGGTATCCCATTGGTACATGATGGTATTGTGGAAGATACTGACCCGGCATTTGAACCATATGATTCCCCGGTTGAACCGAATTAGGAACATAATAAACCGGTTGTTGGTAATGAACCTGTGGGCCAGGGGCAGGGGCATATTGCCATCGCGAGTTAACCGGAAGATTACTCTGTTGAATTACTTGCTCCGGTTGAGGATCAGACTTTGGAGTCGAAACCGGTTCTGGACTATCCGGTTTAGTTTGAACCGGTTGAAGTTCAGGTGTAGACGACCGCATCACAGGAGCCGAAGAGGTCGAACCATACGGCGAGGGAACATCGCGACGAGGCGAGCCAGGATCCGAAAGCGTCGAGACTTCTCGTCGGATCTTAGCTCTCGGATCACGATCACGGAGCTCATGCGGCGGAGCAGACTCATCGAAAGTATCCAAGCCGAAGAGGTAATCTGGAACCTCGGAAACGATCGAGGAAACTTCAGATCTGACGCGTTCGAAACCTTTGCCGGAACCACCGTTAGTCACGGCGGAGGAGCCGAGATTGAGGGCGTCGAGGAACCATTGCTCTCGATTGACGGAGCTGTCGAGGAGAGAGCTGATACTGCTTGCTCGACTATCGTTGTCATCTTCTCCGGCCATGTTATTGGTGAAGAGAAAGAGACGGAGACGAGAGGAGCGTGGGTTCTGATTCTGTGCGATGCGGTCGTATTCGTCCATCATGTTCTCTACATCCTCGTCCGTTGATACGGAGATCAACGCGTCAAGATCTTCGTTTGGTAGCTGGTACTTGACGCTGATGTTGCTTTTACCTTATCCAAATATTCCAACGCAACGATCACAATGCTAATATTTTTTTTTATATTTAAATAATAACAATAATGATTTCCAATCAAATACTCTTTTAATATAAATTGAATACTTTCCCGCAAAATTCCAAACTTTCTCACCAATGACTATCCGCCCAGTTGCCAACATTAATTTCAAACTAAAAAGCTGCAAAATACTATACCAAATCATTCACGCATATCATAGTTGACAAAAACTCAAATATCCCTAGTCGATTTCGGAGATTATCGTATGATCGCCGTTCAAAGTAACAGTAGTTCTGGTTATATTTTTTAATCATATAAATGGAATACTTTTCCGCAAAAGCTTTGTGACCAATAATTATCCGCCAAATTTCCAACAATTTCTTGCAAAAGTATTATTAAACGTGCATTTAAAATACACCAATAATTATCTGCCGATTTCAAAATAATTTGTTGCAAATGTTATTAAAAAGCTGTAAAAATATATGTAATAAACCAATACCCTAATCGATTTTCTTGTTCACGACGTCAAGTTTATTTTTTCCAGAAACCGAACTCTGTTATTACAGAACTATGTTTGTTATAATTACGGTTATTAGTCGAAAGGGATATGATTATCTTACCGGAGAGTTTAGCAAGTTTGTTGAGTAGAGAGGCAAAACTAGTGTTACGGTGAACGGCGATCATACGATTGTCACCACCGACGTAGCTGAGCTGATTATCGGGTGGACGAGGCAATATCCTTCCTCCAAAAGTGCACATGAACCGTACACGTGGCTGATTATCATATTCCGATCTCGGCGATGATGCCATTGACTCGTTGTCCATCTCCGGCTGAAGGGTCGAAGCCATTTTTTCTCTTCTCTCTCCCTCAGGATTTTTGTGATTTTGTTTTTGATTCGATACAGCGACCATATAATTATTAAAGGTGAATGTTTGGGAAGAGTATAGTCTAGAGAGACGGGACTGTCATGGACCGCATTATCACAGCCATAATATTTGATGTTTTTGTAAAATCATCCTTAATATTGTTACCACAACCAATTTGACTTTTTCTTACTAGTACACAAATAAACCCACTAAAGTATTACAGTTACAAAAAAAATAATACAATATTAAACCTTGTAAGCTCTATATTTCAGAGGTTAAATAAAGCTGTTCAATCTGGTAAAACCAACCTAATTAAAACCAAACCGAAATATGAAAAGTGGTTTAAACTTAATAATACCGAATAATCCGAATTGAATATTAATTTTAAGAAACCTCGATATATAGATATGGTTTGAGATATAAACCGCTCAAACCGAAAATATCGACTAAACTGATTAATTAAATTTGTTAGTATACTTATATATAAATTTTATAATAAAATTAATAATATACATAATTAATCTATTAATATGATATTCATAATTATAACATTGAATTAAATAATTTTTCATTTTGTTTTAATTCAAAAATATATTATTTTTTCATTTTCGTCAAATTAAATAAAACATATTGTTTTATTGGTAAGTGAAAGGTAGTTATTAAATAATAATATGGTATTACTATTTTATTAATTTTATTTTATTTATAAAATAGATTAAGATCCACATAAATTTAATTTTGAAATAAATTCAATATTTTTAAAATGACATATCATTATTATTTTTTGCATTTTTTGCTGATTTCATATATTATGTTTTTTGTTTTAATTTTATAATGGTAATTTTGTATTGTATAAATTTTATTTGGTAGTATTTAAAGTATTTAAATATTTTTCAACACTTCAATTACAAACCTAAGTTTATCTACTAACAATATTTTTGATTGGAAAGCTAATATAAATATTTAATTTTAAGAAACCTCGATATATATAGATATTAAATTTAAAAAACCTCGATATATAGATATGGTTTGAGATATAAACCACTCTAACCGAAAATATCGATTAAACTGATTAATTAAATTTGTTAGTATACTTATATAAAAAATTTATAATAAAATTAATAATATATATAATTAATCACTACAAGAAAACAAAGCATTTACTAGGAAATTTTACTAGGAAAATTCTTCCTCGTAAATTTACTAAGCCTTTACTAGGATCTTACGAGGAAAGCAAATTTCCTCGTAAGCTCCTCGAAAACTTACGAGGAAACACTTTCCTCGTAAGACCTTAGTAAATTTACGAGGAGCTTACGAGGAAAAAGTACTTTTCCTCG